TAACGGTACGTTCGCGGTATGAGCGGTTAATTAGCAGCGAAGTAATCTCTGCGGTCACCCGATCATTTCGAGATGCCAGCAAAAATTGGGGCCCTTGAACATCTTGCCAATGGAAGCTGAATTTGCGTAAACAAGGATAACAATAGATGTAAATTGAAATTCCTGGCAAGCCTATGCGCACAACGCAAAATTCCAATTTGATTAGACACACTGCCTTTAATGCTGAGTGTAGGCCCGCAGCTTGGAGTCAGACTCTGGCGATGGAGCACGCAAAACGCGGGCTGGGAGGGTTTCACTCAGAACAGAGATATGCATCACCCTTAAACAGAGGAGCACTGTACCGTCACCAATGACAATTTCACGACCACGTTGGCAATACTGGCTGCTTGTGTCCAGCCAGCCAGTGCGTAGAACATTTGTTCCGCGGAGATCACCCCAGTGGAAAGACGCCGTGACAGAGCGAAGTCATGTCTTAAAAAGTGTAATAAACACCCATTCAGACAGAACTTCGTAGCCCACAAACGCCCCAAGGCCATTGCTTAGCATATTATCATGAGTGCAGAAGAGATGCCTTGGAGAGAACATTTCCAAAGAAACTAAATTCGCTCTAGCTTAAACTAAGTTGTAGACTCGATTGACAGCGAATGCAATTGCAAAAGCCCTCTCTGAACGATGTTGGTATGGGCCACGTGATCCAGAGTTTACCTGCACAAGACGCATGCGAATCGTCTCGTTTGAACTCCTCATCGAAGGGTACACATTCTTACAACGCATTATTACAGCGCATCATTACAACGACAGCAATACCTGGCGGCGTCTACCAGCCAGACCTAAGAATACCTGGAAAGGCACAAGAGCTGACGCCACCCGGCCATTCTCGTCGCGGGCGCTGCGTCGAGATGCGGATTAATGGATGGCTTGTTTGTGGATTTTTTTGTCTCGATGCTGGTCATAAGAGAAGCTTTGGTGGGCTGGTTGACACGCAACGTAGCAATCGCCAGCTTGTAGGGCATATTTTTAATATCAAAGCACGATATGCTGTGAAGACTGTCGTGAATCTCGTACAGCAACCTGCCATGGACTGTGATGTGAATACTGTATCGTTGACTTATCCTTGCCTGCAGTGCTGTCGTCCTGACATCGCTATCATATGATGCGCACAGTAGTCAGTTTCTGTATGATCGGCAACTGGAATTGCAGTTGCATGCAGAAATGAATAGATATCTAACATTGCTATGGATTCATTGCCAAAACATTGTTATTTCTATGGTAAAGATGGTAACGTTGAGTTAAGAAAATGTGTTTTTGCCTAGGATTATTTATGCAATTTATAGTGTACCCTGATATAACCATTGTGGTGCAACAGCATTGTCGCTGTTGATAGTGTTTTGGCGTTGTTAAATCAACTGTCACCAGTCATTCATAAATTTTAAGCTGTTACCACCCCATAGGCTTGGCGTGGCCAACCACTTTGATACATGTGTAATGGCATGGGTCAACAGTGTTGTTGTGGCACTACCCCAGTGCTGTACTGTGACAGGGCATGATTAACAATTATATGGTTTTTGTATTGTAATCCCTGCTGCTTTCAGAATAAATTCCATCATGAAAAGATGGGTCAAGCGTGCATTTTTGTATTAACCCTGCGTCTGACATATGACTGACCAAAAACTAGAGAGGCATATATCACCAAAATCTGAGTTTCCAAAACCATGCAGTATTTATACACTGTCCCCTAGACTGCTGATAACCCATAAACAAACTTTTGGATCTGCCTGTGCATGGATTCAATGAGCTTACTATAATCTATGCCTGATTGAATTGCAATGACGACAGAAGCTGCGACCAATCGCTTCACAATCAAACTGCTGGCTTGCACACAACCTACATAAGAGCCACCTCTTCTATTATATAAACTGTGCGAGCCTCGTTTCTTACAACAAATATGAATTCAATGCTCACCTAGAGTTTGTCAACCGATTCCTCACTCCACGGATTGCTATTTTCTTAACCGCACTTCCTTCCTGTACCGTCACGATAACGCGGAGAGTCGGTTCGTGGGAATAGGGATGCCTTGAAGGAACGTCACCAGTAACGTAAACTGATCTGGTACTTACATAATCTGTCTGATAGCAGCAAATCCCGGCCAGCGAATGGTTTTTTAACAACAAGACAAAATATGACCTTCTAAATAAAGTTCCTTCGATCTGAATTTAAATTATTAGAAAAAAATCGAAGTATGCCATCTTTACAAATGATACAACATAACCAAACATTGCTTTGTCCATCACATGATTACGGCTCCTGATTGGTTGATACTACTGCGTTCAGCCAATTAGCGCGCGCCACACAATGACGTCGCACATTTCCGCGGGAATCTTCCCGTAGCGGCCGGCGGATTTGTGTAAAGCGAGGGGTGGTCACGTGACCAGCGGATAGACACAAGTTGATTAAACCCCACTTCCTGGGGACCGGTCTGAGATTGATAGGAGCGTCGTCTGATGAGTTGAGAAGCATCACCCAATGGTCAACAAAGTGGGGACCGATTTTTCGGTCCCGACTTCGGAACGGTCCCCACTTGGCGTACGTTTAGCGGGCGTTTGTCCCGACTTCGCCGCAAAGACAAGTACACACACACACACACACACACACACACACACACACACACACACACACACACACACACACACACACACACACACACACACACACACACACACACACACACACACAC